ATTCGCCGGCGATGAAGACAAAGAAGTTTTGCTGCGCAGCAGGGCATGATCAGATAGGTAACAACTGGTATGAAATGAGCGCGTTATCATGAAGTCGCGAATATCGCGTTTCTTTGTGATAACATAATCAATCATATGCCAGTTATTTGAACGAGGGTGCATCCAAGTAGTTTTGTGGCATTTCTTCTGTTGAAATACTGTGTTGGTGATAGTGAGATTAAACTCTCTGCATAAGGAAAGGAAACAACTCCATGACGTCCCAAAACCCTTACCCACGTTAGGGAATCATCACCAACCCTTGCATTAAAATCCCCCATTAGAATGAGCTTATCCTTGTGGCGAATGCCACTGATCACTTCCCGTAACTGCTGATAAAAGTCTTCTTTCGTCTTGGTCGGATCTTCTCATTGCTGGTGCATAGCAACTTACAAGTGTTACGCGCGTCCCAAGCTCTAACTCAAGGGTTAGAGTCATGGTACGATCTGACAGACCTTTGGGCAGGGACTGCAATAAACGCGCAAGTTCTGATTTCACAGCAAAGCCTACTCCAGAGAGACGTGGCTCATCAGGACCTTTACCACTTGTGAAGAAAACATAACCACCCTTCTCTTTCTTGATCTGAGCGATTCCAGAGAGACGAGTTTCACTAAGTGCTGCAATATCAATGTTGTACTTTGAAAGTTCAAGAGACACTAAAGCTGTTTTGCGTTCAGGCGCATTGTCATTGTCCTGGGGGGTGCAAACATTCCAAGACCCCAAAAGAAATTTCTTCATTGATTTTCGATTGTTTCGACTGCGATACTGGACACCCAGACAGCTGCAGTTAGCTGCGAAGGTGAATATGTGAGCAAGCAATGTTTAGGGCTCCTCTTGTCACCCCTTCCCCGGCATCGGGAAAGCAGTGCCGTCCCTGAAAAGGGCTGCTTTGTCATCGAAGGAGGACACGAACTGCACAATTGCTCACATGTTTGTGTAGAACGGCCATCACCCATCGACCGCCACTGTGTAGATATCCAGCTAAGGACTCCCAGTGATATCTTTCACCTGTCCCCGTCACCTTCAACCAATCGCCAGTGGACTCCTTGCATGTAGGACTACGTAAAACTAAGATTTAATGTTGTCAGAATACCCACACAAAAGGTTTGATTGAAGTGGTGAAAGCCCGTGTACAACCATCCACACTTTTTGGAGCGGTTGATAACACAAATTCGGTGGTCAACAACAGTCCTCAGGTTTTGTATCAGAGTTTTCCTTCTCCTAAATGCATGCCTTAACGAAGGCTAAGGGTGCATCACTCCTAGTGGTTTAAACATGCCCCCAGACACCAACCTGGGTATTTCCATGTCCCGGCGCAAAATATATATATATATATATATATATATATATATATAGCTTTATCAAGATATATCAAAACTGTTTTTTGGCGAGGGATTAAAATTCGAATGCTTGCATTTTTAATACGTGCATCTATCATTAAAACAGTAATATACAAGGCGCTAGTCATCTCCATAGAGTCCAGTCGAGAAATCTGCGCCGAGTTTTTCGCGGGAAAAGGAATAATATCGCCTTAAGAAATTTTAGAAAACAAAACACCAACACTTAATCACCACATAGAAATGCTTTTTCTTGCCATTAGTATGTCTCATGTAAATCTTCAGGAGCGGAACATTTGGTGCCTTCTTCGGCTCACATTTTGCAACTGACATGAAGTGGACTTATGATATTGAATAAGTTGCCAGGTCTACGACCAGAGGAATTGGTTCACTCTATCGTGCCAGGCCATTTTTCTTGTTAGAATCTATTCTGCGCATTTATAAAGCGAGCACTGATAATAGCATCAGTGTAAAGCTTAAATAAGTCTGGTGAGAAGACACATCTTTGTCTTATGCCACTTTCTGTTTTTCTGTGTATTTACTAAATTCATTTTCTGGCCGCATACAGGGGGGGGGTTGTTTCCAGTATAAATTCTGGATTATTTAGACTAATGTCCTTATCTTAACCGTTAAAATAGCAACATTTTAGTCATTGAACTTTCATACAGAAATCAGATGTCTCTCGTAATTGGTATCCTTCGGGAAATTATTATTATACACTTAACTATTCCAGCCTGCCATCAGTATGGCTGATACTAACCATTTTGGCTCACATTTTTCAATGACAGGAAGTGGACCTATGGTATTGAATCAATTGTCAGGTCTACTACCACAGAAACTGGTTCACTGTGCTGTGCCAGAACCAATTCTGCGGATTTATAAATATAACATAATCTAAATTCCATAGTAGCCTTCATTTCCAAGTAGGAGGTGCGATATTACGTAAGAATTCAGCACTCTTTTCTTTGTTTCTAGCGAAATTTTCCCGTTTCTTAATACTTTACTTAGGTTTTGGAAGGCATTATTCGCTATTCCAATTTGCCTTCGGATCTCGGAGTCGCATTTTAAACATTTCCTATGATTGTTAAATATTTGTACCTGCTTCATCTTGACGTCTCCAGTTCGTATTTCGCATCATAGGTTGTTCCATTTGCTGACAACTATATATCCTGTCTTCTTGGAATTCATGCTTAGTCCTTTCTTCACGCTTTCCTTGCCTACCTTCAGCTAGGACTTCTAATTCTCTCAGAATTGCCTCACTGTAAAGCTTAAATAAGTCTGGTAAGAAGACACATCCTTGTCTATTATTGTGTATTTACTGAATTCATTTTCTTGCCCCATGCAAGCGGTTTGTTTCCAGTATAAATTTTGGATTATTTAGACTAATGTCCTCATCTTAACTGTTAAAGTAGCCATATTTTAGTCTTTGAACCTTCATACAGAAATCATACGTCTCTTGTAAATGGTATCTTTCTGGGAATTATTATTATACACTTAACTATTCCAGCCTGCCATCAGTATGGCTGATGCTAACCACTCTGACTCACATTTTCCAATGACAGGAAGTGGACTTATGGTATTGAATCAGTTGATAGTTCTACTACCAGGGGAATTGGTTCACTTTACCGTGTCAGACCATTTTTCTTGTTAGAACACATTCTGCGCATTTATAAAGTTACTACTCATAATAACCTCAGTGTAAAGCTTAAATAAGTCTGGTGAGAAGACACATCCTTGTCTTACGCCCCTTTCTGTTTGTTGTGTATTTACTAAATTCATTTTCTAGTCGCATGCAGGCGGTTTGTTTCCAGTATAAATTCTGGATTATTTAGACTAATGTCCTCATCTTAACTGTTAAAGTAGCAACATTTTAGTCATTGAACCTTCATAAAGAAATCAGACGTCTCTTGTAAATGGTATCCTTCTGGGAATTATTATTATTATTATACACTTAACTATTCCAGCCTGTCATCAGTATGGCTGATGCTAACCACTCTGGCTCACATTTTTCAATGACAGGAAGTTGACTTATGGTATTGAATCAAGTGCTAGGTCTAGTTGTAGGAAGGCAGTTTCACTGTGCCCTGCCAGAATCCATTTATAAATCCACTTTTCATCCGTGCGTTGAATATTTCTACCACGTCTGGTCAGGTGCTCTGACTATATATCTTGAGATACTTAAAATCAAACAGGATTTAAGAAAAAAAAAGGATTTAGTAGCATTTACATTTTTGCAACTACATTCCTTCCGTTTTCCGCAAACACAGAGATAAAGAGATTAAGAGAATTTACATCCTGTAGAGTATTGAAGCCTCATGATATGAAAAGTTGAACATGTCTCTGAAAATATTAAAAGTACAGTAATTCCCCATGTATATTATGCATAAGAGCTCTCTCGTAATTGGTATCTTTCTGGGAATTATTATTATAGACTTAACTCTTCCAGCCTGTTCTATAAAATATCAGAATTGATTGTTAGTTGCAAGGATGAAGACAACAGGAAGTGGCTTTCACAGGCGAGAAGTACGAGAAAATAACCTATCAGAATAAAACTTCCGTATGTCGACAGTAAAACGATGCGATTTTCTAACAAATCTAGTATTACGCTTAAATCCACACACGTTACGAAGAAAAGAGTTCATTAGTTAATTTTAAGAGGCTTGCATCATACACGTGATATAAAATTAGCCTATGTACTGCTGGAACTGGCTACACCGTTAAACAAACTATATATGCATTTACTGCAATCAAATTAGCTTCAAAATTAGGTCTTCAAAGGTCGCATGATACTCGGGCATATACGACAGATAAATAATGACTGTGATAGATAGATAGATAGATAGAGAGAGAGAGAGAGGGCATAGATAGATAGATAGATAGATAGATAGATAGATAGATAGATAGATAGATAGATAGATAGATATGAAAATACCGTCAAAGGTAAATAAACATAAATGGAGATAGATAGATAGATAGATAGATAGATAGATAGATAGATAGATAGATAGATATGAAAATACCGTCAAATGTAAATGAACATAAATGGAGATAGATAGATAGATATGAAAATACCGTCAAAGGTAAATGAACATAAATGGAGATAGATAGATAGATAGATAGATAGATAGATAGATAGATATGAAAATACCGTCAAAGGTAAATGAACATAAATGGAGATAGATAGATAGATAAATAGATAGATAGATAGATAGATAGATAGATAGATAGATAGATATGAAAATACCGTCAAAGGTAAATGAACATAAATGGAGATAGATAGATAGATAGATAGATATGGATAGATAGATAGATAAATATGGAAAATGAACATAAATGGAAATGAAGATAAATAGATAGATAGATAGATAGATAGATAGATATGAAAATACCGTCAAAGGTAAATGAACATAAATGGAGATAGATAGATAGATAGATAGATAGATAGATAGATAGATAGATAGATATGAAAATACCGTCAAAGGTAAATGAACATAAATGGAGATAGATAGATAGATAGATAGATATGGAAATGCCGTCAAAGGTAAATGAACATAAATGGAGATAGATAGATAGATAGATAGATAGATAGATAGATAGATAGATAGATAGATAGATATGAAAATACCGTCAAAGGTAAATAAACATAAATGGAGATAGATAGATAGATATAGATAGAAAATTGTAAAATGAACATAAATGGAGATAGATAGATAGATAGATAGATAGATAGATAGATAGATATGAAAATACCGTCAAAGGTAAATAAACATAAATGGAGATAGATAGATAGATAGATAGATAGATAGATAGATAGATAGATAGATAGATAGATGAAATACCGAAAAAAGGTAAATGAACATAAATGGAGATAGATAGATAGATAGATAGATAGATAGATATGAAAATACCGTCAAAGGTAAATGAACATAAATGGATATAGATAGATAGATAGATAGATAGATATGGAAATACCGTCAAAGGTAAATGAACATAAATGGAGATAGATAGATAGATAGATAGATAGATAGATATGAAAACACCGTCAAAGGTAAATGAGCATAAATGGAGATAGATAGATAGATAGATAGATAGATAGATAGATATGAAAATACCGTCAAAGGTAAATGAACGTAAATGGAGATAGATAGATATATACATACATACATACCGTCGCGTACCCAACAACTTTTAAGACTAAACTATGAAGTTAATTTTAAGAGGGTCACATCATACACGAGATATAAAATTAGCCTATGTACTGCTGGCACTGACTACCAAACTATATATGCATTTACTGCAATCAAATTAGCTTCAAAATTAGGTCTTCAAAGGTCGCATGATACTCGGGCATATACGGTACACAAGAAAGGGAACAAATCCACGTACTAAAAAAACGGAAAGCTTTTCTTAACTGAAGTATTCTCCTTTTGTTTGAATTGTATGAAATTTTTCGGCTAGTGTTGCTAAATCGTTGCGTGTATGCTGGGATTAATTTCGACGCCATTTGTATTTTTTGTTTTCTTTTCCTTTCTTCATACTTCTCAGGTTGTTACCCTTTTAAACAATATCGTAATTATTTGTGTGTGTATGTATGTGTGTGTGTGTGCCGGGTTGTTCTTTTTCTGGGTAGAGGTGGCATTTTCTAATTTCTGTATTTCCCCTTTCCCCCACACCACTAAAGATAGATAGATAGATAGATAGATAGATAGATAGATTTGTTAAACATATGCCGGTCTTCTCTGTAATGAAAGGAAACAAAATCGTTTATTCAACTTGTTGAGGATTTACACACGAGTTGAGCACTGGACAAATATTGTGACGGATCTTTACTATCGAGAAACGTCGACAGATCTTTTGTTCACGATTCACGAAATTGTAAGCGACAAAATAAATTTAGATTAAATAAATCTGTATGAAACATGACTCATCAAACATTCGACTCTTTTTAAATTTGTTTGAACCTTTGAAATTAAATTCGACTTGATTTATCATCATCATCATCATCGTCATTTATCGCATCTTTTAACAACCGTTTCTTACCAAAATTTATTCTGCTACACATTATTGATTACAAGTTGCAGAACAATGGAAATGGTGTAGACTTACATTTTTCAATTTCAATTTCAATAGGCCATTAGCCAAAGTAGGCCGGTAGTTACATTTTTATTCTTAAGTGAAATAGGCTTTTCATTATAATTTTTTTCTAATAAAAACATTTCTTTTATATAAACATTATCACAAGTCTATTAACAAAATCTTGAATTCAATATAACTTCAAATTCATAATAGTTTTATAAAAATTATCAGACTTGACTATATTGACTGTTCAAATACGTTAAATATATAAAGTCCACATTACATCTATGTATTTTTTTATATATATATATATATATATATATATATATATATATATATATATATATATATATGGAGAAATATAGTCTCAAGATGTGCTATATTTACGGGATAAAGTGCTCAATATCAGAGATAGAGCTTGTGTAAATATAAAAGTGAACATAGAAGTCAACACTTAGAGGCGACAGTCTTTTTCATGCTAGATGCAATCGTGGCTTGACGATTGCATCTAGCATGAAAAGACTGTCGCCTCTAAGTGTTGACTTCTATGTTCACTTTTTATATATATATATGTGTGTGTGTGTGTGTGTAAGGTGTGTGTCTCTGTGTGTGTATACTTTTTAAAAATAAAAATATATATATAGATACTTTCAAACATTTATATAGATGCATAAAATATATATATATATATATATATATATAGATATAGATACACATATATATATATAGATAGATACTATATATATATATATATATATATATATATATATATATATATATATAAAACCTTATAAATTTAAGCAGCTATATTCGTCCGGCAAAACCTTAGGTGTTTTAGCTTGTAAATGAACCAACCAATACCCAATGGAAAAAAAGGGTTAAAAAAAAAAAAAGAAAAAAAGAACTAAGAACATATACTTCCGGCGAAAATAATCGTCTAGAATCAAAGTTCAGAGTCGAAAGAAAAAAAGAAAAACCTCCGACAAGAGTAAAGTAAAAATAACTAAGCAAAGTTCTCAATACACTAAGTAGAACAAACTAAGTAAGTTTAAAGAGCCAGACAGACCTGTTTAGGTTTCACCTAAGCGGATCGTCAGGGCGGACTGACAATACGCGTAGGTGAAAACTAGGTAGGCTAGTCTGGCTCTTTTAGGCTTATTTACTTTTATATATATATATATATATATATATATATATATATATATATATATATATATATAGATAGATAGATAGATAGATAGATAGATAGATATTTTTTTAAATAAACAATAAGCGACATCTCGGCCCTGATGAATTGTGTAACCATCGAAAATCGAGTCGCACATGAAACGTAGCTATACGTGTATTTATTAACACACACACACACACACACACACATATATATATATATATATATATATATATATATATATATATATATATATATATATATATATATATTGAATTTAAATAAAATGGACATATTTTGTCTATTCATTAAATAATATAGACAAGTTTTATCTATTTATTTTATGCAAATTCCTTTCATATCATCTATTAAGCTTAATAACATTATCATGGAAAAACGAAAAATCACCATATTGATACATGTTCTTTAATCATATCTAAGCTTTTTTACAAAATATATATATATATATATATATATATATATATATATATATATATATATACACACACATATATTGTTTATACGTTATGTTTATAGATACAAATGTTTCAGTAAATGATCTGTTTATAAATAAACAGTATTAACAACATTTACCGGCCTGAATGTCCGAGAAATTACATAGAAAATATCTGTACAGCGACAAGAATCGAACCTGTATCCTACACAAAAGCGTCATATAGCCTGACGTGCTATACTATTTAGCTACAGAGGAAGCATAAAGAAAACATGTTAATACTGTTTATTAAAAACAGATGTTTTTACTTAAATATTTGTATCTATAAAATAACGTATAAACAGAAAGTATATTAAAATAATTGTCTATTTCATGATACACACACGCGCGCGCAGACACACACACACACACGCATATATATATTTACATATGTGTGTGTGTGTGTGTTTATAAATGTATAAGACAATAGGAAAACTGTTATGATAGTCGACGCGTTTCGTCCAATGTGGATTTTTTTTTCAAGGCAAAAACAAAATGAATTTATGAAACAAAATAACTAATAACTAATCTAGAGAGCGCTATTTTCATACTGTTAATTGAAAATTACATCAATTACTGTCACGTGTGGAGATATTGTTTGTATTGCTGTGTTGACTGATTCAACCATTTTCTCGAGAGTGCCGCCATTGAATATTACCCAAATATCAATCTACACCATTGCTTTTTCCTTATTTCATCTTTCTTAGCAGAATTACTACTCTCCCAAACAAACGAAGACAACAATTTCGTGAAATCAATATAAAATAAGATAGGTTTTTTCCGACTAGTTGGCTATATTTGTGAACACAATGTGAATAAATTGTCTTTTTCTAACCAGACAAAGTTAGAATTTTTGATTCGCAAACGTTTTGGATGCAGTCATGAACCTACTGCAGAGGGAATTGTGTTTAATTTTTCTTCTTATGAGCCAACCCAGATTGAGACTACTATATTGGCTCACGGTCTGGACTTTTGTATTCCTTTTTCTATGCCGGATCGTGAAAAAATATTTTCTGAGTTTGAAGTTCTGTTTGCTCAGGCTAATCGACTTAAACGTTGCTCTCCTCAGTCTCTGAGTGATTTTAAGGCGGAACTTAATTGTTTCGCCCATTCTTATGCTGAATCTTCTGTTTCTTTTTCTGATTCTAAATGGGGTGAACAGCACCGTCGTGTAAGAAAGGGTTTAAAAAACAACCACAATCTTGTTATTACTAAACCCGACAAAGGTGTCGGCGTTGTTCTTCTGGACTTTTGTGATTATATTTCTAAGATGGAGAATATTCTTGGTGATCCATCGAAATTTCTAAAATTAGGTCCAGTTGAGACCCATGATTGTACTGCTTCAATAGAAGCCAAATTTCAACGACAATTATTAAAGTGGGTCAGAGGTGGTTTATTATCTTCTGTTATTTCTGAAGATATTAGGCCCACTGGGTCAATTCGTCCCCGTTTATATGGATTGCCGAAAATACATAAAGATGGTGTCCCATTACGGCCCATTTTATCTATGATTGGATCGGCTCAGCATAAGGTTGCTGGTTGGCTCTCAATACTATTGCAACCTGTTTTGTTGCATTTTAGCACATACTGTGTTAAGGATTCATTTACATTTGTGGAATCTATACACAGTGTTCCCTCTAGCGGTGGTTTCATGTGTTCTTTTGATATTGTGTCTTTATTTACCCGTGTCCCTTTGTTAGCGATAGTGGAGATTTGTTGTGATATGTTATATCGCTCTTCTCTACGTCCTCCGGATTTTTCTGAGGGTATATTTAGAGAACTTATGAAGTTCGCCACTACATCTGTAGAGTTTAGCTTTGGTGATATTATGTATCGTCAAATAGACGGTGTAGCGATGGGATCGCCTTTGGGTCCTACGCTTGCGAATATTTTTTGTTGGATTTCATGAGATTTTACTGTTTTCACAAATTAATCGACCTCTGATGTATCATCGGTATGTTGATGATATTTTCTGCCTCTTTGATAATGAGGGTGAAGCCAATACCTTTTTCTCTGTATTAAATTCTGTTCATTCGTCCTTAGAATTTACCGTAGAAAAGGAGTCTAATTGTTGTCTTCCCTTTTTGGATGTTTTGGTCCGTAGAGGTGATGATGGCTATTGGACTTCAGTATTTAGGAAGGCTACCTTTTCAGGTTTATATGTCCGTTGGGACTCTTTTTGTCCACGTCAACGAAAAATTAATTTAATTAGAACGTTGACTTTTCGAGCTCTTAAAATTTGCTCAAATCCCTTCCTCTACACTGAATTGGATTTTATAAAAATGACTCTTTCTAAAAATGGGTATCCGTTGGACATTTTGGATTCCATTATGCATGATGTCATTGATAAATTTAGTAAGAATAGACCGTATGTTGTTAAGAAATGTCCAATTTATTTGCGACTTCCTTACATTGGCAGAGAAGGTGAAAAACTAGTAAGGCGAATTTCACATTCCGTTAGTAAGTGTTTTTATGCTGCTAATGTGAGAGTAATATTTTTTACTCGACCAATTCTTTCTTCCAGGCGCAAGGATTTTCTGCCTCCCTTTCATATTAATTCAGTTATATATAAATTTAAATGTGGTTGCGGATGTGACTACATAGGCAGAACGTCTCAGCGTTTGGATTTTAGAATTAAACAACATTTACCCCCCAGAATTTTAAATCCTGCCGCTAACAAAAGCCAACTAGTGAATACATCCGGGTCATCTATAGCGGAACACGCTATAACTAGCAGGGAATGTGTTTCTGGTTTGAGTGTTGACTGTTTTTCCATTCTGGCGAAGTCACACTCTGCATATCATTTGAAGGTTCTTGAGTCCATTTACATCAAGTCCCGCAGGCCGTTTTTCTGTAAGCAGAGAGATTGCTTGTTGGGCTTGAATGTGATTGGGCTCTAGTTCTCTCTATCATATATAATTTTTTTTCCCCTTTCCCCCTCATTGAATGTTTTTTTTTTTTTGTTTTTAAGTTTATGATTAAATAATCCCAGGAGTACTTGAGAAGTACTGGGACGAAACCGGTTGTTTGTTTTAGTTCTTAGTTTTCATAATTATGTCCTTTACATTCCGCTTATTCCTTGCCATAATATATATATATATATATATAAGCTACACCACGAAAATAATAAACAAAAACTTAAAATTCTCGAGACAGTCTATATCAATATAAATCAACTAACACTCAACAAAATTCATCACGGATATAGCAACAACATACTAAAGTGCATATAACATTAATATACTAATGGCATTTTACATTTCTACCAATTCTCGGGAAGTGCCTTTATATTGAAATTCTTATTTTGTAAAATCAAAATCCATATGTCCAACAAATCAATTTTTAAAAAATCTACAAAAATTTTAACAGAAAACCTTTAACAAAAATGTTTAACGGAAAGATACAATAGCATGTTTTGTCACTGTAATTTAACCCTGAAGATGATCTTACAAAAGACCGAAAGTACTTGGGTTAAAAAGAAAACTACGTTACTTTCCTTGATAAACTTCAACTTAACATCAAGAAACTGATTAAACTACTGGAAAGGATCAGTATAAACAGTGATATCATAAAAATATATATATATATATATATATATATATATATATATATATATATATATATATATATATGAACATTGAAGTCAACACTCAGGGGCGACAGAGTGTATCATGCCAGACGCAATATTCAGGCCACATTTGACGATTGCGTCTGGCATGAAACAGTTGGCTCTGTGGGTGTAGAACAAACACAAATGTGTTTGAGCGTGCCTCTGAATTAGGAATTGGCTAACCGCCCTAGTAGATGGATATCCTCGAATATATTTATATATATATATATATATATATATATATATATATATACATGAAGAAAAAATAGTTTTAACGTATGCTATATTTATGGGATAAAGTGATCAATATCAGAGATAGAAGTCAGCAGCAGGGCGACTGACTGTTTAATGCTAGACCCAATCAAATGAAACAGAAGTCGCCTCTGAATGTTGACTTCGATGTTCACTTTTATATTTATATTTACATACATCTATCTCTGATATTGAGGATTTATCCCACAAATATAGCAAACCTTAAGACTATATTTCTTCATATATATATATGAAGAAATATAGTCTTAAGGTGTGCTATATTTAAATAGTACTGCGGTTAAGTTTTTTAATTAATTCTTCGTGTTTTTCTGATTTTTGTTGTCTTTTCTAGGTAGAAATTATGTAGAAATTGTCCAAATGTTTTGTATATCCGAGCGCTTTCGGTATAATTTTAGCCATTATCAAGGGTGATTTTATTTGTACTTCTATCTGAATATATGCACTGTTTTATGTATGTAACTAGAGTTATAGGAATGTTTTATCTTCCTAACACGGTCATCATATTATGGCCGTGTTCATAGTTGATGTTATTGAGTTTTCGGCTTTTTCTTTTTTATTAATTATCCTTCCCAATTTTTAGCCTTTGGCGTTGACTTCAATGTCCTTTTTTATTTTTACATATGCTCTGCCCCTGACACTGAGCACTTTAACACATATCATACCTTAAAACTATATTTTATTATATGTATATATAAATATAGATATAGATATATGTGCGTGTGTGTGTGTGAAATTTAAATTTAAATAGTTTTTTTTCATTTCTCACTGATAGACTTGCAAAAGGCATGAATCTATCTTTTACAATGTTCTGTAAAGAGGATTTTTTTTTGCCTTGATTGGTAACCAGTCTATGCGAAGGACAGTTTTGAATTAACATTTGTAGCCAGAACAGCAAAAATAATTCCACTGTCTTCCTCAAAACCAGTCCTGACCATGCACAGCTTAACATATATCGAAAAAACGAATGAAAGAAAAGTAGAAAATAGTAATATTATTTTTATCATAGAATAGATAGATAAGAAACGGAGAAATGATGAGATCTATCATAATTTTAATTCCTCAGAATTGCCCGACTTCCGGTTTTTGTGCATATGGTTTTCTTGGTCAAGTCACAGGCTGCGTTGTTCTGCCAATTGGTTAGTCCCAATGGCGATTTTGTGTCAGGTGTGCATCGTTAAATTGATGCCAAATTACGAAACTCTCCGAATATTGGAGTTTATTGATAATCGATGAGTTGAGTTGCTCAAGTGGTAAATTCTGATTATACAGTTAGAAAGTCCAGGCAACAGTTTTCCCCCTAGGAACAGGTACAGGCCACACATAATTGCCAACAGTTAAGAGAACTCTCTCGGTCAGAATTTTGAAAGATCTGTCTATATTTCTGAGATGAGCTGTTGTAACTATTTACACTATTTACATTTATTATTTACATATGACAATAAAGATAAACACTTTCTTCAAGTGATATATTTTGTAGTTTCGACCGAACACTTTATTAAGTCCTCTTTAGTAACTCAACTCAAGTCCCTAGCATTTTTGCTCCCTCTACTGTAGACAGGTATTGAACTCACAACTCTTTGGTCCGAGTCACGTTTTAGATTGCTCAAACAACGATTTTATTCCTTGGGAATAAGGACATATGGCCTATTGAATAAAAGTATTGCATGAGTACTTGGGGAAAATGAAAGAAAGAAAGAAAGAAGGGAATACAGAAATGTTTATCGTCTGTTTCAGTGAAATGGAAAAGTTGCCAATTTCAAATAGTTTCATTTATATCTCCTTATTTCTTAAAATAACGAACAGCATTCATATTTATGATTGTTATTACAATATATTAATAAGTTGTTAATCTCAAATATTTAAAGATGCGATATGGGAATTTCTACGAATATTTTATTATCGTAGAACTCGCCATGAGCTTATTCAATCATTAACTGAAGAATTAAGATTCATCAGAAAATTTCAGTAGGAAAGCCGAAAAAATTTTCATGTTTTAAAAATACTACTACTACTACTACTAGTATAATTAATAATAGTAATCCTCACCGGGTGCCCCATATTTTCCGCTTTGTGCCGCTTTAAAAGGGGGTACTTCGACTCGGTGTAATGGTTAACAACCTTCTCTCGCTAGAACAATTACGTCTGATTAGTGAGTCCGATACTCAACTAGTGCTCCATACTTTCGGCCTTGTGCCACCTATAAGCTACACTTAGATAATAATCACCATGGAGAGTCGGGGATGAAATAATGATTTAGAGACGCGGGTTTTCTTGCAGAATATCTGAAGAGACTATTTACTGAAGTTGAAAGATAGTTTGCAATGAAAAGGCTTTGAATTTAGATATTAAAATTCTTCTTGGAGAGAAAGAGAAAAAAAAAAGAAGGATAATTTCTGATCTCTTTGTTCGTTTTTCGCATCTAAAATTAATAAGTTCCACCCTCCTCCAAACATCCCCCTCCCAGTCAGAAGCCTCATTGGGGATGTAGTTTATCGTAATACCCAGAACCGTAACTTTCTGTATTTCATATCGTGTTAATGATGGTTGCCATTGGATACCATTTTTTTGGTTGAATCTGTCAGGAGTACTTGCCAGGAACATTAACAATGAGTACTCCTTATGACAAAATCTTTGTGGCAAGCTCTCCAGATCAATTCATATCTGTTGGAGACTTCAATCGATTTTCATCTGGCAGAAGCATCTGCTGTCACATTTTACACATTTCTCTCTGGCACGTATCACTTTGGTTCATAAACGTTATTTATGATATTTTATGCAGTCATGTGGTAGCGGAACAATAAGAGCAGTTCATCTCACATCTCCAGCACCTTCCTCAGTATTCATACCGAGCCTAAAACCAATTTACTCATCCTAAGGTGTTTTGAACAGGAGTAGAGGTTCATCCCTTATTTCCTATAGATCTATAATACTCTGCCTAAACTCTGAAATTTTATTTACTATTTATTTACCTTATTTTCTCCCCTCAGTAAGAGTTGATAGATTTTCCCATCGTCAGGCATAAACTCCTTTCTTGTCTTTTGAACAGGAGTATAGATGTATCCTATACTTCCTAGTTAGGTTTGGGTTTCTGTTTTTTTTCTTCTATTTCACTTCCGGTAGCAACTTGCGTCTTAGGGGCTTTTTCGCCTTGCTTGTGGTAAATTAGTTTTTAAAAAAAAGCAGTCTGAAATCAGTCTTCTCTGATGTCTCTACTTTTATTTTCTGTAGCATTCATCTTTAAAAGTTAATTTAAGTATTCAAATAAGCATCAAGTTCTACTGTTTTGTAGCTTACGGGCGATGTCCTGGTGTTTTTGTAAATGTTTATTTTTTATTCCTCTTAGATATTCAACCTCCCCAAATTAAGTATTCACATAACCATCAAGTTCTTCCATTTTATGAACATTAAGAATCAGTATTCATTATGTCAGAAGCTTTGTGGCAAACTCTTCAGATCAGTTTGCGTCTCTTGGAGCCTTCGATTGATTTTGATCTGGCAGAAACATCTGTCACATTTCATTTAGAAAACCAGCCATATATGATAGAAAAAGTAAAGTACAGGCGATATAGTCAAATCCTCTTTCAAGTTTAACTAATTATTGTTTTGTTTTGCATCAAGTATCTTATTTCTATCGAAGTAGTTGCAATAAATTTTAAGTTAAGCCGAGAGAAATTCAGACAGAAATTGTATTACTTCTGTGCAATCGTAGTTTTGACAGTTTTGGTGGCCGGAACAATCTATTTGCATTCTTTGCGTTTGTCTGAATCTTCCACATTTCTATTTTTTCAGTTTTTATTTGCAAAAAAAAAAAAAAAAAACGGTTCTGCATGCAGCCTTATATTTATCTAGCTTCTGCTGGGAAAGTTGGAAGTAATATTAACTGAAGCTCTTAATTAAGACTTCATTAATACAAAAGAAAATGATGAGCTAAAACTTGAAGGAGGAATTTACTCTATTACCTATAATAACTCCCACAAAGAACACATCGGTGAAACCTCAAGAAATCTAAATAAAAGATTATATAAACACAAAAGGGATCTTTTACATAACAAAATATTAATTCATTAGTTGCTCACCGTGAATAGACTGCCTTAATTTTCATTTAAAAAAAATCTACTCTAATTAAGAGATAAAAACGTTTAGAAAATACATTAATAGCTAGATCATCTACAGCATATGTGCGTCCAGGGTCTTGCAACGTTTCACCTTTCTTGGCAGATCTTCTATTATCACAATGTGGGAGATTTTATAACAAACAGGGTTGGGAACATAAACAAAACGAAAATTAATCGAAATGAAACCGGTTAGAGTTTATACACAAAACACATATTTAAAAAATGATTTGAAAATGTAAAATTCCCAGCGTCCGTCATTCGTGTGCATGTGCAGTCACATCAACGTAATCATAAACTTAGTCTGATGAAGTACAAAAGTACGAAACTAAATTTTCCAACTTTGTCATACTTCTTCCCCCCATATATATATATATATATATATATATATATATATATATATATATATATATATTCATACGTTTCATTAAATAATATAGACAAGTATTGTCTATTTATTTTATGTAAATTATTTTTATACCTTCAAATAAGTTTAATAACATTATCATTGAACGAAGAAAGCATTTCACAATATTAATCCATATTTTTTAATACAATCTAAGCTTTTGGTTACACATAAGCCATTATCAAAGATGTCAAATACAACATATTAAGCAATATACGGACAAGACAGTGATGTAATTGGCATCTTTGATAATGGCTTATGTAAGCCGAAAGCTTAGATTGTATTAAAAAATATGGATCAATATTGTGAATTTCTTTTTTCGTTCAAAGATATATATATATATATATATATATATATATATATATATATATATATATATAGAGAGAGAGAGAGAGAGAGAGAGATAGATAGATAGATAGATAGATAGATAGATAGAGATAGTTATTCGTTAATACATGTTTCATTAAATGATATAGACAAGTGTTGTGTATTTATTTTAAGAAAATCCTTTTCATAACGTCTGATAAGCTTAATAACATTATCATTGCAAGACGAAAAGAAAATCACCATGTTGATACATACATTAATGAAAAATGCTGCCTAAAATACACACACACACACACATATATATATATATATATATATATATATATATATATATATATATATATATATATATGAACATAGAAGTCAACACTTAGGAGACGACAGTCTGTTTCATGCTAGATACAATCGTCAGGCCACTAGCATGAAACAGACTGTCGACTGTGTTGACTTCTATGTTCACTTTATATTTACACACGCTCTATCTCTGATATTTAGCACTTTGTCATAAATATAGCACATCTTAAGACTATATTTCTTCATATATATATATATATATATATATATATATATATATATATATGTATGTATATATATATATATATTTCTTCATACATATATATATATATATATATATATATATATATATATATATATATATATAT